GAGACCAGCCTGGGCAACATGGTGAAACCTAGTCTCTACAAAAAAGATACTAAAACTAGCCATGTGTGTGGTGTCCACCTGTAGTCTCAGCTACTCGGGAGGCTCAGGTGGGAGGATTGCTTGAGCCTGGGAAGTAGAGGCTGCAAAAAGATATGTTATTTAAAATTTATAAATACGGAGATGCTTCATTTGAAATTTGAGCTTGTTTTAGTTCTATTGGAAATAACAGGTAAGTAAATTTTCTTTTCTCCGCTCTCAGTTGTCTTGTCATTTCCTTTGTTTCAATGAAGAAAATTACCCTATTTCTATATAGTAGGGCTAGTATGTTTGGTCATTTTCTAGGCATCTTGCTTATGTTTATTTGTTTGTCTCCTTAATAAGAATGGAGCAGAATTAGGAGCCCTTTTATCTGCCAATGCCTAACATCTGGCCTGGGGCATAGTAAATGCTCACCAAATGTTTGTAGAAAACTGACTGACAGCTCAACGAATGGCTTTACCTTGTCGCTGGATAGATAGACACAGGGTCTTGACTTCACTGTGATTATAATGATAACTATCACAGGAGTTACCATTGAGTTGAATAATTATGAATAGTCTTAGCAAAGGGTCTGGATATGGTAATCCCTGAATAAATTGTGCCTGTTATTTATCAAGCATTGACTAAGACCCAAGCATGCTGCTATACAATCTTATGTAATCCTCACAAGAACCCTATTGTACAAGGCTGGGTGTGGTGGCTCACACCTGTAATCCCAGCACTTTGGGAGGCTGAGGCAGGAGGATCATTTGAGGTCAGGAGTTTAAGACCAGCCTGGCCAACATGGTGAAACCCCATCCCTATTAAAAATACAAAAATTAGCTGGGTGTGGTGGCATGCACCTGTAGTTCCAGCTACTTGGGAGGCTGAGGCAGGAGAATTGCTTGAGCCCAGTAAGCAGAGGTTGCAGTGAGCCAAGACTGCGCCACTGCACTCCAGCCTGGGTGATGGAGTGAGACTTTGTTTCAAAAAAGAGAAAGAAAGAGAGAGAGAGAGAGAGAGAGAGAGAGAGAGAGAGAGAGAGAGAGAGAGAAGGGAGGGAGGGGGGAGGGAGGAAGGAAGGAAAGAGAGAGAGAGAGAGAAAGAAAGAAAGAAGAAAGAAAGAAAGAAAGAAAGAAAGAAAGAAAGAAAGAAAGAAAGAAAGAAAGAAAGAAAGAAAGAAGAAAGGCCGGGCGCAGTGGCTCAAGCCTGTAATCTCAGCACTTTGGGAGGCCGAGGCGGGTGGATCAAGAGGTCAAGAGATTGAGACCATCCTGGTCAACATGGTAAAACCCCATCTCTACTAAAAATACAAAAAAATTAGCTAGGCATGATGGCGCGTGCCTGTAATCCCAGCTACTTGGGAGGCTGAGGCAGGAGAATTGCCTGAACCCAGGAGGTGGAGGTTGCAGTGAGTCGAGATCACGCCATTGCACTCCAGCCTGGGTAACAAGAGCGAAACTCTGTCTCAAAAAAGGAAAGAAAGAAGAAGGAAAGAAAGAAAGAAAAAAGAAAGAAAAAGAGAAAGAAAGAAAGAAAGAAAGAAAGAAAGAAAGAAAGGAAGGAAGGAAGGAAGGAAGGAAGGAAGGAAGGAAGGAAGGAAGGAAAGGAAGGAAGGAAGGAAGGAAGGAAGGAAGGAAGGAAGGAAGGAAGGAGAGAGAGAGAGAGGGGAGGGGAGGGGAGGGGAGGGGAGAGGAGAGAGAATATTGTACAGATGGGGACTCCTGGAGCTATGAGAAGTTCTTACAAGGAGAAAGCAGTTGAGTTGGGATTTGAGTCTAGATCTGACTTCAAAATCCATCCTTATCTGATATATGTCTCCAGATACTGTCTTCATGAGCAGCAGGGGAGTTTTAGAACCTCTGAAGCACTTGCTCACAAGGTCAAGGTTGCAGGACCCAGCTGCCAGGTGGGTACCCGGAAATCCATGGCCAGAATGGAGGCTGATCCTGGGAGTCAGGTTCACTGCAGAGATAAGGAAGTCTCCTTTGATGGCCAAGAAGTCTACCACGATATTATGTCTCCCTCATCAAAAGTAGCTTGGGGCCAGGCACAGTGGCTCACACCTGTAATCCAGCACTTTGGGAAGCTGAGGAGGGTGGATCACCTGAGGTCAGGAGTTTGAGACCAGCCTTGGCAACATGGTGAAACCCAGTCTCTACTAAAACTACAAAAAATTAGCCAGGCATGGTGGTGGATGTCTGTAATCCCAGCTACTCGGGAGGCTGAGGCAGGAGAATCGCTTGAACCCAGGATGCGGACGTTGCAGTGAACTGAGATCGCGCCACTGCACTCTTGGGCAACAAGAGTGAAACTCAATCTCAAAAAAAGAAGTAATTTGGATTTTAAAAGTTTGACCAAAGTGTGGGGAAGTGAACATTCTTGTGCTGGTGGGATCACAAATAATGACAGGCAATGTTGATAAGAGCTTATTCTGGGCCAGGCCTATAACACCCAGGCGTCTCAACCTCAGCCCTATTGACCTTTGGTGCCAAATCATTTGCTGTGGGGGCTGTCCAGCTCACTGCAGGGTGTTTACCAGCACCCCTGGCTGCTATGCACTGGAGTAGTATCTCACTCCAGTTGTGAAAACCAAAAATGTCTTTAGGAACTGTCAAATGTCCCCTTAGGGGGCAAAATGGCACCCAGTTGAGAACCACTGCTTAAGTGTATCATGTTAATTTAATTCTCACAGCAGCTCTAGGAGATTGGTATTTTAATTATCCCCATTCTACAGATTAGGAAACTGAGGCAAAGAGGAGTTAAGATCCTGCTGTTAATAAGCAGTAGAGAAGGGGTTAAAACCTAAGTAGCTCGAGTCGGAGGTCACAATGCTTCATGGTCACAGACAGACTTTTTTTTTTTTTTTGAGATGGAGTCTCACTCTGTAGCCCAGGCTGGAGTGTAATGGTGAGATCTCAGCTCACTGCAACCTCCGCCTCCAGGGTCCCAATTCAAGCAATTCTCCTACCTCAGCCTCCCAAGTAGCTGGGATTACAGGTACGTGCTACCATACCCAGTTAATTTTTGTATTTTTTAGTAGAGACGGGGTTTCACCATGTTGGCCAGTCTGGCTTTGAACTCCTGACCTCATGATCTGCCTGCCTCGGCCTCCCAAAGTGCTGGGATTTGTAATCCCATGAGCCACCATGCCCGGCCGACAGACTTTTTTTAGATGTTTTATTTTTTATTTTAGTTTTATGTGGAGATGGGGGGGCTCACTCTGTAGCCCAGGCTGGTCTCGAACTCCTGGCCTCAAGTGATCTGCCCACCTTGCCCTCCCAAAGTGCTGGAGTTACAGGCATGAGCCACCATGCTTGGCCCAGACTTTCTGATTTGACTTTTCCACATTTGGTACAATTTGGCAGAATGTTAAATAAAAAAAAAGGGGGGGGGGGGGGACATGCTTACTATTTGGCCCACAATCCCATATCTAGAACCTTAAGAGAAGTGTATGTTAAAAGACGTTCATCTCATCATCATTTATACCCATGAAATACCAGAAATGGGCTGGCCATGGTGGCTCACTCCTGAAGTCAGGAGTTCAAGACCAGCCTGGCCAACATGGTGAAACCCCATCTCTGCTAAAATAACAAAAATAAGCTGGGCATAGTGGTGGGCCCCTGTAATCCCAGCTACTCAGGAGGCTGAGGCAGGAGAATTGCTTGAACGAAGGAGGTAGAAGTTGCATTGAACAGAGATCTCACCATTGCACTCCAACCTGGGCAATGGAGCGAGACTCCATCTAAAAAGGAAAGCAAGAAAGCAAGAAGACTTTTCCGCGCTATCTGCCGAGGGCTCCAAACGGCGTTGTTCTGGATTCCCGTCGTAACTTAAAGGGAAACTTTCACGATGTCCGGAGCCCTCGATGTCCTGCAAATGAAGGAAGAGGATGTCCTTAAGTTCCTGGCAGCAGGAACCCACTTAGGTGGCACCAACCTTGACTTCCAGATGGAGCAGTATATCTATAAAAGGAAAAGTGATGGCATCTACATCATAAATCTGAAGAGGACCTGGGAGAAGCTTCTCCTGGCAGCTCGTGCCATTGTTGCCATTGAAAACCCTGCTGATGTCAGTGTTATATCTTCCAGGAATACTGGCCAGAGGGCTGTGCTGAAGTTTGCTGCTGCCACTGGAGCCACTCCAATTGCTGGCCGCTTTACTCCTGGAACCTTCACTAACCAGATCCAGGCAGCCTTCCGGGAGCCACGGCTGCTTGTGGTCACTGACCCAAGGGCTGACCACCAGCCTCTCACGAAGGCGTCTTATGTCAACCTACCTACCATTGCTCTGTGTAACACAAATTCTCCTCTGCGCTATGTGGACATTGCCATCCCATACAACAACAAGGGAGCTCACTCAGTGGGTTTGATGTGGTGGATGCTGGCTCGGGAAGTTTTGCGCATGCGTGGCACCATTTCCCGTGAACACCCGTGGGAGGTCATGCCTGATCTCTACTTCTACAGAGATCCTGAAGAGATTGAAAAAGAAGAGCAGGCTGCTGCTGAGAAGGCTGTGACCAAGGAGGAATTTCAGGGCGAATGGACTGCTCCAGCTCCTGAGTTCACTGCTACTCAGCCTGAGGTTGCCGACTGGTCTGAAGGCGTGCAGGTGCCCTCTGTGCCCATCCAGCAGTTCCCTACTGAAGACTGGAGCGCCCAGCCTGCCACGGAAGACTGGTCTGCAGCTCCTACTGCTCAGGCCACTGAATGGGTAGCAACCACTGAATGGTCTTAAGCTGTTCTTGTGTGGCCTCTTAAACAACATGTAAGATTCATGGAAAATAAACATCGAGTTTCTAAAAAAAAAAAAAAAAAAAAAAAGAAAGCAAGAAGAAAGGAAGGAAGGAAGGAAGCAAGGATGGATGGATGGAAGGAGAAAAGAAAAATTTAAAAGCACATGTAGAATGTGTAGAGCGTAGTTTTATTTCTATGAAATTGTATGTATATGTAGTGAGGGAGGGAAGCGTTAAACAGAAGTGATTGCAGGAGCTCTTGCACCTGCTTAGAATATTGCTTGATAGGATGCATGGTGCAAGGGGGGCAGTCACAACAGGCCGCATATTGTATGATATCATATATACCAAATGTCAGAACTGGCAAATCCAGAGACAGAAAGATTCATGGTTTCCAAGGGCCGAGGGGATGAGAAGTAACTGCTCATGGATACAGAGGTTTTCTTTCTTTCCTTCCTTCCTTTCTTCCTTTTCCTTCCTTTCTTCCCTTTCTTTTATTTCTTTTATTTCTTTCTCTTTCTCCCCTTTTTCTCTCTTTCTCTTTCTGTCTTTCCTTCTTTCTCTCTTTCTTTTTCCTTCCTTCCTTCTTTTCCTTCTTTTTTCCTTTTTTCCTTCCTTCCTTCCCTGCCTCCCTCTCTCTTGCTCTCTTTCTCTCTTCCTCTCTCTCTTTCTCTCTTTCTTTCTTTCCTTTTCCTTTCCTTTCTTTTCTCTTTTCTTTTCTTTCTCCTAGGCTGGGAGCATGATCAGGGCTTTGATTCATGTCTGTCCCTTGAAGACAGCTCCACCCTTTCTCCCCAGGATCCAGGCAGAGCCCAGCACAGAGCAGGACCTCAATAAATAGTTATTGATGAGACAGAAGAACTAATTCCTTGAAAGAGGCAGTGAGAGCTCTGGAAGACGATACCAAGAGCTTTCTCTGGGTGGTGGTGTGACTTTTTTTTTTTTTCCCCCTTGAACCATAAAATTTTATTGGCAGGTCAAGGGACGTGCCGGGAATAAGGGTCCCTTCCTTCCCATCTCCTCACCCAGGAGACCCCCTCCAAAGGACAACAGAAGCCCCGGGCCTGCTGCCTTCTCAGAGGACCTTGGAGGCAGACAGGTTGTTGTAGCGATCTTCCTGGCCCTCCAGCAGGCTGCGGTAGGTGGCGATCTCCTGCTCCAGCCGCGACTTGACCTCCAAGAGCCGATGGTACTCCTGATTCTGCTGCTCACTATCAGCCCGCACATCGCCCAGCTGGGCTTCAATACCACTGATCCGCGCCTGGATCTCCGCCAGCTGGGCTCCAAAGCGCGCCTCCGTTTCTGCCAGTGTGCCTTCCCAGCTGGCTTTCATGCTCAGCTGTGACTGCAGCTCAATCTCAAGACCCTGGAGGGTGCGCCGCAGGTCACTGACCTCGGTGTTGCTCATCTGGAGCTGCTCTCTGTGGACAGCGACCTCCTGGTTCAGTTCTTCAGTCTGGCTGGTGAACCAGGCTTCAGCGTCCTTCCGGTTCTGCTCGGCCATGACCTCATATTGGCTTCGCATGTCACTCAGGATCTTGACGAGATCGGTGCCTGGAGCTGAATCCACCTCCACACTGACCTGGCCTCCCACTTGGCCCCTCAGCACACTGAGTTCCTCCTCATGGTTCTTCTTCAGGTAGGCCAGCTCTTCCTTCAGCCCTTCAATCTGCATTTCCAGGTCAGTCCTGGCCAGGGTCAGCTCATCCAGCACTCTGCGCAGGCCGTTGATGTCGGCCTCCACGCTCATGCGCAAAGCCTGTTCCGTCTCAAACTTGGTTCGGAAGTCATCGGCAGCCAGACGGGCATTGTCAATCTGCAGGACAATCCTGGAGTTCTCAATGGTGGCACCAAGAATCTGGTCCCGCAGGTCCTGGATGGTCTTGTCGTAGTGGCTGTAGTCGCGGGAGGGCCCGGGCCCCTGCTTCTGGTACCAGTCACGGATCTTCACCTCCAGCTCGCCGTTGGCCGCCTCCAGGGCGCGCACCTTGTCCAGGTAGGAGGCCAGGCGGTCGCTGAGGTTCTGCATGGTGAGCTTCTAGTTGCCCGCCAGCAGCCCGTCGGAAGTGGCCAGGATGCCGCCATAGCCACCGCCGTAGCCCCCCGAGGAGGATGAGGACACGAAGCGAGTGGAGGACACGGACACGCCGTGGCCGCCGGAGCCCCCGTGTATGCTAGGTACGCGAAAGGCGACACCCGGCCCAAAACGCACGGAGCCGCCGCCCAGGCCCCCGAAGGACGACGTGGACGACCACAGGCGATAGCTGTAGGAAGTCATGGCGAGGCGGAGCACGGACCAAGCGACCCTGGTCCCAGAGGCTGTGATCACCGGAGGCCGTGACTTTTTATTAAAGTATAGCATGACAGCAGAGTGCTCACATCTTAGGCGTAGCTCAGTGACCACACAAACGCACTTGCGTAAGCAGCGGGGAGGTGTGACATGGAGTAATTTTATTTTCCTTTTGGTCCCTTCTGGCTGGTTGAAATCTTTTTCAATGATGTAATGAGCATCACTTATAAGGGTCTGTGACATTTTTACAAAAAGATGTTTTCAAATGAAGAAAAAACATCCATGTTCAATTATTTGGAATGTGGAAGGAACCCGTGGGGTGATAAGAATTTCTTCCTTCCCTTGTTTTCTTTCCCCTGGCTTCCTCTCCTGACCCCAGCAGGAGCAGGCTTCTGGTGTTTTAGATACCCACTTTCTCCCTCCAGGGGCGGTTTGGAGTTTGTTACAAAGAACCTAAAATGTATGCTGAGTTCAGAATTAAAATGGGGTAAACAAAGTAAATCTCTATGAGAAAATCACACAGATGTTTGTGTTTGACTTTTCCTTTTACCCAAAGGCAGGAATCTGGGGCATTTGGAATATCTGGTTTTTTAAACAGAGTCCTGAAATCTATTCTCAAAGATATGCCCAAATTAATAATTTGTATGTGAAGAAGTGACTCATTCATTCATTCATGGCTGTCTGCCGCTGTGCCAGGCCCTTTCTGAGTGTAGGGAATAAAGACACGGATCACATCTAGTCCCGGTCCCCAAAGAGACAGACATGGTCACAACAGTCCCTTCAAACCACGATTGGTGATTTAATGAGAGCTGGGTGGGTAAAATATAGAGCAGAGGCCGACTGTCATCTAAGAGAAGGAACGTTTGTGGTGGGTTTTGAGAAATATATAGAAGTTTTCCATGCAGATAGAGGTGGAAAGGCATTCCAGGCAGAAGGAACAGCTATGCTAAGACACAAAGACTGAGATAGCATAGAGCATTGAGTGCAGTGGTCATGAGCATCCATGCCTAGCCAGGCTGCCTGGGTCTGAGTCCTGCCTTACACATCTCTTAGCTGTATGATCCAGAGCAAGTTTTCATTCTGTGCCTCAGTTTCTTTACCTATGAAGTAGAGGTAGTGACAGCATCTATGTCATAGAGTTGCTAAGGGTTAATTCAGAGAAACCGGATAAAGCACTCAGGCCAGGCCCTGCACGGGACAGGCATTTGGTAAATTGACAGCTCCTAGTTTGGGTGAGGTTAAGTTCTAGGAAACAGGTTCATTGACATGGAGCAGGCGTGAGGGCAGAAAAGGGTGGATTGTTTCATGCTCTTGGGAGACATCCTGATACGAAATCTGTGGGGGGAGGTGCCCAGCAGGCAGGTTCCTGTGAGCCTGGAGGTCAAGGCTGGGCACGAGGTCCAGCCCCTATCTGCTTCTGTCTCCTGCTTCAGGGACTTTGAGGACTGACCCCCAGGAGCTGTGGGCCTGCCAGCTCCAGGCACCGGTGACAGATACTGTCACGCCCAGACCCCAGAGCAGCCTGCGTGGGGCACAGCCAGCTGGGCATTGCCTCAGCATGAGAAAATGGAAGGAAGGAAGGCCTAGTCAAGGGCAGTACCCAGAGAGAGGGCCAAGGGCACTGGCCATCCAGAAAAACAGTCTGGTTACCAGGATTCAGCTCATCACCTTGCAGCTGGCTGGCCTGAAGTCACAGTTTGCTTGAGCACACTGGGGTCATTCGGCTCTTTTTTCACTGCCAATGCCACCCATTACCCCAGGGATTTCATGTCTCCTCAGGGCACCCTGCCAAAGACTTCACATTTGGGCTTACAAAAGCGAAAATGATTAGCTCCACTTTACAGATAAGGTGAAGGTGAGGTTCAGAGAGGTAAAGTGACCTCTCTGGGGACACACAGCTTGCCAGACAAGCCTGCCTGCCCCTAGGCCTGAGCTCCTACCCACTCTGATAGCAGTCTTCATTCCAAGTATCCTTTCAAAGAGGACCTGGGTGACCCACATTTAAGTTTAACAGTAACGTTTGGAAACAGAGAGATTACATGAAGAGTGGTAATCTCTGAACACGAGGTTCTCAGTTTTATGGTAGAGACTTTTTTTAAGGAGGTTGTAGACTTTGTCTGCCAAAAATATTTATGTAAAAACTTGGAAGCTTGTGGAGGCAGGAAATGGTAATTACCACAAAGCACTTGGTCGTACAAACGCCTGCCCATCCCCAAGCTATGTGGCGAGCCCAGGCCCTGCCCCAGGGTGGCCCTTGGGGAGCCCCCACCTCCTCAGGGGTCCTGGCCAAAGCCACTTCCTTGGACTCAGCCCGAGCTCTGAGCCGGCCTGGAAGCTGGCTGGCTTCCCAGCTGTGGTTTTTGCCCTGATGTGCTGGGAGCCATCCCACGGTCTGAGTTCTGGCCTTGGCTGGCTCCTTGCCTCCTGGAGGAAGGCTGGGGAAGAAACTGGGGGCTGGATACATCAGGTTTCAGGTTTGAATCCCATCTGTATCGCCTAGAGATCCACCAGACTTGAGTGGAGGCTGTGGAGCCAGGCCCTGGGTTAGAACCTGGACTCAACCACTTTTCAGCTCTGTGGCCTTGGGCAAAGCTGCCCTGTGAGCTTTAGTTTCCTCACCTCTCAGGTAGGGATTAGAATGGTCTTGCACTCGCAGGCACACAGGGACATTCAATGACCCACTTTGTTAACGTGCTTACAGGCCAAGTGTGGTGGCTCATGTCTGTAATCCCAGCATCTTGGGAGGCTGAGATGAGCAGACCACTTGAGGTCAAGAGTCTGAGACCAGCCTGGCCAACATGGTGAAACCCGGTCATTACTAAAATATAAAAATTAGCCAGGCGTGGTGGTGGGCGCCTGTAACCCCAGCTACTCGGAAGGCTGAGGCAGGAGAACTGCTTGAACCGGGGAGGCAGAGGTTGCAGTGAGCTGAGATATCACCACTGCACTCCAGCCTGGATGACAGAGCAAGACTCCGTCTCAAAACAAAACAAAACAAAAACAAAAAAATAGGCCGGGCGCGGTGGCTCACACATGTAATCCCAGCACTTTGGGAGGCTGAGGTGGGCAGATCATTTGAGATCAGGAGTTCGTAACTAGCGTGACCAACATGGTGAAACCCCGTCTCTACTAAAATACAAAAATTAGCCGGCGTGATGGCAGGTGACTGTAACCCCAGTTACTCAGGAGGCTGAGGCAGGAGAATTGCTTGAACCCAGGAAGTGGAGGTTGCAGTGAGGCGAGATCATGCCACTGCATTCTAGCCTGGGCGACAGAGCAAGACTCCCTCTTAAAAAAAAAAAAAACAATATAAAGAAAAGTGCTTACAGCAGTCTGACGTAGACTAAGTGCCCCGTAAGTGTGGGCTGTTACTGCTACAGGTCTTTGAGCAAGGCCTCATCCCTCCTTGAGCCTCAGTTTCTCCATCTGTAGAATGGGAATGACATAGGACCCTACCTCCGAGAGCTGAGGATGTGAGATGGTGCACGGAAGGTACTTTGCACAGCGCCTGGCAGTTAGTGGATCGTTCACAAGTTACTAACAATTATTTTTACATCCTAAAGCCCTTCTGAGAGGCTCACTTGGGGGGTGGGGCACGGGAAGTGGCCTGAGAAGGTTAAAATATTAAATCAGCTGGGCACAGTGGCTCATGCCTGTAATCCCAGCACTTTTGGAGGCCAAGGTGGAAGCCTGGCTTGAGCTCAGAAGTTCAAGACCAGCCTGGGCAATGTGGTGAGACCCCATCTCTACAAAATATTTTTAAAATTAGCCAGGCATGGTGATGTGCATCTGTGGTCCCAGTTACCTGGGAGGCTGAGGCGAGAGAATCGCTTGAGTACAAGAGGTTGAGGCTGCAGTGAGCCATGATTGTGCCATGGACTCCAGCCTAGGCAACAGAGTGAGATGGTCTCAAAAACAAACAAAAGCCAATTTCTAGATGGAGGGGGACCAGTAGCTTTGAGGTGCTTCGAGAGCCTTTGTAAGTGGCATTCGATGGGCACAGAGACAGGGAACCAGGGAAGGGCTAGAAAGCAGCTTGTTCTGCTGCAGAGGCTGGAATCCAGCAGCAGGGAGTCATAGGAGAGGACACGGCTAGGAGTGTGTTACTTTCGGGGCTGGGGCGCTGGGTTGGGACGGGGCAGACTGCTGAGGCTGCGGGTGGGGCAGGGTGTGACAGCCTGGAATCTGAGCTGGGTGGGACAGGGGTAGGGTTGCAATTCAGCCATAAGCTTAGGCCAGTTCCTGCCCCTCTGGGCCACACTCTCATCTGTCAAATGGGGCCAATGACACATCCGATGACTCAAAGAACACTTGCACTAATGAGGCTGTCAAGAGCCTCCTGAGGTCCAGCCAGGTGTAGGGGAGAAGCTGCTTCCGGATCCACCTGACTGCATCTGAGACGGAACCCCAGGTAGTGCCAGAGGGTCGGGGACAACCTGAGCCTGGCATTTATGGGAACTTGGTTCCCTCTGACGCAGAGCAGACCCGAGCTGGTTCCCCAGGGTCCTAAGCATGTTTTCCAGCCTAGGGATGGGCATGGCCCTGGTGCCACTGGCAGTGCAGAGGGGACACCTGTAAGTGAGGCTGCCCCCCCAGGCCGCTTGTATATGCCACCCCAGTGTCCTGCCAACCACTCGCTGAGACACATTATAGACCCTTCCTCCTGTGTCAGAATCATCCCACGTTCCTCAGCAAGCCCTATCCAGACTCCAGATCTGGCAGTACAGGGAGTCTTCCCAGTAGCCTGGCTCCCCTCCAGCTACAGGAGCCTGTTGGGGGCTGACACACAGCCTGACATTGACCTCTGGGGAATTAGTTCTAGACTTTTATTAATAGCAACAATATTTTTCATATACTGTGTGCCAGGCACTGAACTACACTCTACTTGCACGGAAAATGCACCAGGACCCTGTGAGCTGAGGTCTATGATCCCACTCCTAGGAGAGGAGATGCCCAGTTCCCCACCCAGTCTCACACAATGGGGATCCAGCTTGGGCAACCCAGCACCAAATGCCCCTTTCTCAGGGACTACACTGCCTTTGATTTTGTGGGA